GCTTGTCCTCCTTCACCGCCAAACAGATTTTGCATGGCAGAACCTCCTGCAGTTGGACCAGTTTGATTTTGGTTTGGTTGTCCTCCTCCACCGCCAAACAGATTTTGCATAGCAGAATTTCCTGCAGGTGGACCAGGTTGAGTTTGGTTTGGTTGTCCTCCTCCATTGCCATATACATTTTGCATGGGAGAATGTCCTGTATATGGGCCAGTTTGATATTGGTTTGATTGTCCTCCTCCACCACCAAATACATTTTGCATGACAGTATTTCCTGCAGATCGACCAGGTTGAGTTTGATTTGGCTGTCCTCCTCCACCGCCAAATAGATTTTGCATGGCAGAAGTTCCTGCAGATGGACCGGTTTGATTTGGTATTACTGGATTGTTTGGCGGTGGTGCGCCATTAAGAGCACTTCTTGAAAAACCAGGAGGCGGAGGTACAGCTGGAGGCTGATTTTGAGAAAAATTGAATGGTGCGTTAGGGATCGTTGAAGGCAGTCCTGTAGGTACCTGACCTAACTGCGCTGACGAATAATTTTGGCTACTATAAGTATTGCGATTTCCTGGTGTATTTCCGATATTGGAGGTTATTGTATCACGGGGCTAGAACGATAATATACAAGTTGATTTATTGTCTTTTAGAAAATGTTCTAACGTTCTGCTAATCTGGTCCAACATTCAGAAACTGGAATCAAAACAATTCTACATTATACTGTTCATACTACAATGCCAGTATAATACAGTTAAAGTTTTGCTCTAAAATGAGCAGTATGATATTTTTGTCGAATGAAAATCAGAAATCAACAAAAATCCACTATGTTTCAAGGCAAAGCCGTAATTGATGTGCTAACGTTATGAGGTTTTCATCAGGATGAAGCATCGGTTGCAGAAGATCGATGAAGCAAAATAAAATTAATTTCTGGAAAATCAATTTTATTTTCTCTGAGTTTGAAAGGAACTTGCTGGCATTTTTTAGTGAAACGAGAAGATGTAAAGAAGGTAAGTATTGTAATGAACACAGACGTTTTTTGGTTGTTTCAGCCAATCTCTAATTGATGAGACACCTAAATTCCTCTGATTAATGTCTAAGTTACATACACTGAGGAGTGGAGTAATAAACTGTTTCTCTCTAGATCGAAAAAATGTCATTTTCTGTAACGGCTTTATCGGGAACTAGAAGGGGTACAGTCAAATTTTAAACGCGCATAGGGAACTGTGTGTCTGAATTAATAAATAAGCTATTTTTAGCCTTTGCAGATGTTCCAGTGAAGAATTAGGACGTTTGAAAGTACGTGATTTGAACGTCTGGAACTTGACATTTTTTTTTTCAAAAAAGTCTGAGTCATTCATGTGCAGGTGCATTTATAAGAGAGTACGTTCCCATACTATGGGATTCATTTCATGACAATGTTTTTATATGTATTCAGCGAATAATTAACGCAATGTCTAGTCTCTAAATGCATTACTATTTTAAAGATACTTAACGCTCTTAGTTCAAGCAGAATGAAATTAAGAAACAGAGAGATACGTTCACGAACATATTCCTTTCTTACAAAAATGCCGGTAGTCTTTCGTCCCATCTTTAGGAAATGCTCCCGCTGTATGTGTTTTGTTCTGGCGGAAAATTGAAGGGACATAACTAATTAGTTGTTATTCATTAATCTGTATTAAAGCATCGTTTTTCACCGTCCTCAGTAAATCGTTTTTGGACTTTATTTAAAAAAAACACGAAAAAAAAAATTTAAACGAGAAGGACGCTGAACAATTATAAAAAAATCTTTCTAGATTTTCAATTGCTTTAAAACTATATGCCACTTTTGATTTTTAATTTGTCCATATACGAATTCGCCGGGAATTTTCAAGTTTAACAAGCGTCGTTGATTTTATGCAAAATCGATTTATTTTCTGGAGTATCTGGAGCTTTTGATTTTCAGAAAAATCAACGGAATTTTGCAAAAAAGTTGAATTGATTTTCAGAAAATCCAGAAACGTTTTATGAGCAAAAATAAAATTCCTGGCGTTTTCAAGAAAGTAGAAAATCGCTGCTGAATTCGTATATGGACAAACAGAAAATCGTTTTTGTATTTTCTATAACTTATTTTCAAGTTTACAGTATACAAAAGGATTTTCATATTTTTGTTATTTTACGAAAAGATACTTTAGTATTGTCTATCCAATGGTGAGAATTTCTCTTTCTCGAGTGATTCAAAAAATATGGGCATTCCTATTTTGAAATGGATAACAATCGTAGAGTAGTCTGGGATAATTCTAACCAGGCACACACTTTTGCTCAGTATTTTACGAATGGTTAAGCCAATTTTTGGTCGGAGAAAAATGGTGCTTACACAGGTAGATACATATGACTTTCAGCTATGCACTGATGTACAAATTGTCTGAAAAAGTCTCCGACTGTGACTTTTGACAAAAATCAAAGTTGTCCAAAACACCTGAAACGCACATCAGTCGATTCAGTTTTTCATGCTGATTCCAAATATATTATTAGTTTGCAAGAAAGTGGAAGTTTAGCGGCAAAGTTCTCATTTGAAATATAAACTGGGAACCGATCACAATCACAGTTGGAAATCAGACGTTGACGGTGTTCTTTTAGAAAAAGAAAAGGTGCATTGGATAGAGGATGCTCTAATGTTTATGAATAGCTAAACTTTTTATCGATATCATTGCTAATTAAGCTTCCAACTTAATTACCAAAATAATATGGACAGGAAAAACTTTTTGAAAATTGACAATTATACTTTTTACACGAATAGACGATCGAAACATTTTTTTTTCTTTCGATTTTTACATGTAATAATAGATAATGGTCTTTTGAACATATTCTACCATGTGACCGGTATGAAAATCGGTCTTTGGAAACCTATGGAAATATTTTTCTCTTTATTCCGTGTGAGTTACACGGAGTGGTTATAATTACCCCAGTTCGTGAATATCGAAAAAAATGACTCGTCTTTTGATTTTACTAGTTTCTCATTAGGTAATTAAGGGTAAGGCTGATTGACTAGAAATTCATGAGGTTGGATAAAACTCGAAATTCTCTATAAGATGGTCTCATTTTTAATTGAAAAGGTGAAAGTTCACCGTTGGATCAAAGTTGATTTACATCGTCCTAGCCGTTTTTTGCTGTGTTGGTTATAATTACCCCAGCGGAGTACGTTGACTGGTTATAATTACCCCATTTGGGGTAATTATAACCATTTAAGAGTAACGCACTGGAAATTGAATAACGCTAATTAAAGGTAATGAATTTTCAGACAATTTTTACATCAGTGCATAGCTGAAATTCATATGTATCTACCTGTGTAAGCACCATTTTTCTCCGACCAAAAATTGGCTTAACCATTCGTAAAATACTGAGCAAAAGTGTGTGCCTGGTTAGACTTACGCTAAACTACTCTATTCTTTTAACGGATTAATGTTAACCCTAAATATACAAAATTCTGAACAAAAAACACATAGTAAAGCTTCTACTGAAACAAAATCTACTCTAATTTCTATTTAAATTCTGTAAAAAGTAAACGATAGACAGTTTCTTTCAGTTTCAGTCCTCATCAACGTAAAATTTTAGTTTATCATGAACTCGTACTGGTGATCGACTTTCGTTCAAATAACTAAATTAGAACTATCACATCAGTAGTCCCAAACATCATACACTCGATTCACTTGTTAGCGAAATCTGATGCTAAAATACTTCAAATAAATAACTTTTTTACGTTTTCTATTCTGATTAAGAAAAAGAATAAGTGTAAGAAATTTGCACCCGTCTACGAGAGCATGGCTCTTGTGCAAAGAAATGTAGATGATCTGATGATATGTTGTTAACATAATAAATTTAGTTGCAAAATGAAAGATGCATTTCTGGCAAAATCTGATAAATCTGTCAATTCCAATAAAATCCATCATTCATCGTGCAAATCAATCTGAAATCCACATACTTGATTCCGATTTCTTGTTTCGCTTTGTACATTGTAGACTCCATCGTCAGTATCCGTGTCTTCCTAGACGAGGGAAATAACATATGAAACATGCACAATTTTTTAGTGCACACACCAAAGTTATCGTAAAAGTTTTTTTCTTTTGGATGGTTTTTTACCTACCGCGATTGGTTCTGGTGGTTTTATAGTATTCGACAAGTTTTGTCTGTTGAAGTTCTGTGGTGGTGGATAACTGTCTGGGTATCGCGGACTGAAATCAGAAAAAAAGATTTAAAGATTCCAACCATACAGATACGAACTCGTGAAGAAAGACATGCCCATGAAATCCGACTGAAGGTTTTGGTAATCAAAACAATTCATCAGTCGTCAGAATAATTGAAGTTAATTACTTAATATTATAATTTTTAACAGTACTAGGTTAATTTCAGCGACATACGATACCTTTTTGTACTTCGTCTGAAGATATTTTCAATTTTATCTCGAAAACTCATTTCAATATATTGTATATCAGGAGAATATCAACTAAAGATGTCAACTTTAAAATTAATTTAAATAAGTTATAGGAATAATAAAAATTTAAAATTCATTTCAAATAAACGAAATAAGACAGTACATGTCTTTAACAATATGTATATTGTTGATCGTGTTTGCTCTTCTTCATTATTTTACTACTATAATTTGACACGTTCTCTCTTTTCTTTGTGTCCTTGCGTTTCTCCTCACATGAATCAATGGAAAGAGAGCATACACAGATCTAAAATCGGAGCAATGTGATTTTAGGTTTATTAGTAAATTCTGTTGTCAACAGTAAACTGGATAAATATTGAATATTAATACTAAATGTGGTAAACGTTCTTCATTCATTCGTTCATGAATTTTTTTTAATGATTTTTCGCATCTTTATGTATCTGCAGCAGTCGGCCTTTTAAGTAAAAACGAAGGTCATCCGTTATTGCTCAATCGTCCGTAGCTAAATAAAACTAGTGGAAAATAGACGAATAAAGCAATTTGTTTTATGTACACATCCTCAATAGTGGCGAATTCAGACTATGTGCGGTATGCACTACACCATATCCTCTGGAAAGAAAAAAATAGTATTCTCGATGTCTCATCGTATCGCTCGTATCTCAAACATTTTCTTTATCCAACTCTTAAGCTTTTCCTCAACTTTATTGAAGTGATTCAAAATGCAGTAATGATATTCACAAAAACAATCATACTTCTAATATTTTCATTTCCACAAAAGATTTAACACTATCACTTTCTTATTCAAGAATTTTGTGACGCTTTTATTTTGTTTCATAAATAGAAACTTCCAAGGTTACCGGTTGAGGCACAATAGTCAACATCAGTGAAAAAAGTGAACGCGCTGACTAGAGAAATTTAGGTCAGAATCCTGAAAAATTTTCTAGAGTCGGTTGAGGTTATAATATTCTGGTTGTGGGAATAACTCAAAACCTAAAAGTGCGATCGATACATTCACTCTTCGGTTCAGTTATTTTTCGTTACAGTTACTCATCCGATGCTTTACATAACTGAATCTCAATAAGCGAATGAAAGCTCTTTATAAGTTATTTAGTTACTTTAAAATGTGAGGTTTCTACAGTTGAATCTAATAAGCTACAGGTAGAAAAACCAGGAGATGTGAAGTGCTCGCTCTCTGCAATCAATTTCCTTTGCTCTCTACGACTTCAAATGAAGTTAAGATATTTAATAGGGTATAATTCTACAAGAATGAGAATTTTCTATCTCGCAGGAAAAAGCAGCAAAGTAATTCTTTCGAAAGTATATCAGACTTTACATCGACTATATGCCAATCGTCTGAAATCTCTAGAACTAGTGCAATTTGAGCTTCTGATGACGAATATCACGTTAAAAAATTTTGAAATAAGTACACGGTGGCTTCCCATACCCGTGGGAGCCCATTTTCTAGTAGAATGGATCATTTGCAGGCATTTTTATCATTACTTTTTAACGAAACATTTTTTGAGCCGATACTGTCAGATTAGCACCTGTAGGACTACAAAATCTCTAGCAGACCGAACATTCGAAATCTAAGGGAGAGTCTGGAAAATCTTTTTAATCGATCGATCACTCTTTTTGAAAAATAGACCGTTTGTGTAAACCATACTTTCCCCACTAAATCACGTTTTCTCTACTTGTGTAGGTTTCCAGTTGACAATATTTATGCTGAATAAAAGAATAATTCTACGTATGACCACAGATATCGTATTGATTAAAAAAGTTGGCTGGTGAAAACAGGAATTAAAATCCAGATTTTTGAAAAAGTCGAAGAACAGAAATGTGTTTTTCGACCTGGTGTTTTCTGGACAACAAATGTCCAAAATAGGGATCTGAAAAAATGAAAAACTCAATTTCTGTTCTTCCGGAAAATGAAAAAATCTGTTTTGCAAATTTTCAGAAAACTCACATCAGATTCCTATTTGGGACAAATGAAAAACACAGTTTCAGTTTTCTGAAGAAATCTTTTTAGAGTGTACTAGAATTGGCTATTCAACGAAACAGATATTCCGAGCTAAAGGAAACAAGATTTTTCTTATCTTCGTCTGTTACTAGCAGCAAAGATAGAAGCCCGATATTCGCCTAACTGGTAACTTGTAAAAAATTTTTTTGCAGGGTTATTCCTGTTCGGTTCTGTTAAGAGTATATCAACGTTAAGAAAAAAACAAAGTTTATTTGGAGTCGAGGAGGATATTTGAGCTGAAAAACTAGTGATATTTGAGGGATTTTCTCTGTATTGTACACACGAAATTCGATAAAAATAATCTTGTATAGGTTATTTTTGATGCTGAATTGAAATTTTACCGTTTTTTACATGTAAGAGGTACATTACGATAGAGAAATCACAAAGCTTATTCAAAAACTTCTGCTTTTATCTACCCGGAAAGTACCAGCTCAAACGGCTTTCGCTCGCCGTTCAAGCATTGAACAGTCTTTACTTTTTGTTTCTTTGTCTATGTGTACTTTATTCTGAGGTTCAGATGTTATATTACTTTATGTACGAAATTAAAAAATATATAGTATTTGAAACCACTCCCGAGAATTTATCTTGGGAAATAGACTCAGAGGAACCGTTACAAATGAGGCAAAATCCCTTGGAAAAACAAGGAAATTGCTGGAACAGTAAAGTTCTTATAACTTTTTAAGCGCATCAGCCCCGGATCGACGGTTTACGCAGCCATGCTCAGCTCGACGAGCTCTACAAAAATGAGATTGATATTACGATTTGCACCGAAAGTCGATGTGATGATGGTATGCTTCATATGGATTTACCCGTTATCGAGTGAACTGAATACGAAAAAAACACTTTTCCACGACTCTAAATAAACCTTGTTTTTTTTTTAACGTTGATATGCTCTTAACAGAACCGAAAAAGAATAAACCTACAAAAAAAATTTTTACTGGCACTTACTCGCCATCGGTGCCAGAGAGATTTTCAAGTTTTGCACTGGTGCGGATTAATACTTTTTCATTGGCAGAGGTACGTACCGATGCTGAAAAAGTGCCCATATATCATAAAAAATTGTCTTGCGTTATCGGCACCCCTGCGCACTAGAGCCAGTTTTGCCACGCTGGTGCCAGTTTCGCACTACAATTTTTTTTGTAGAGAAGTTACTAAATAATACTTGATTCAGTAGGTAATGCACGCCATCAATGGATCTTGCACCAGCGTAGTGGTTCCCAGCAAATTTTCAGTTTTGGATAGGTCTGATAAAGCATGGAAAAATTTGATTTGCTACATTTTGCCTAATCAAACAATTTTTGTTCTGTTTTATTATGTTATGAGTTTTTCAACGTTTTAGTCTTTTGACTCTCTCCTCGTCCGCGTCTTTTTTCTGGGCATAGTAGGTTATGCAATGTACAAGAGTCCAGGTGCGATTTAACAATCTCTTGTATCTGAGTAAGAGGAGAGTACTTCAGCAAATTGGTCCACTAACAATTCAGAGGTGTTTCGAGAGTGACGTTGAAAAGCATTGGGTTACAAATAGTTTCGTGCAGGACTCAACTCTGTCATATCGTAACAAAATGTGAACTAGAATTTCGTTACATTCTTTAATTATCATGAATTTTAGATGCGTTCATGTATCCACCAAATATCCAAATCACTACTATCTTCCAGTCTTCAAAATAATAATTCTTTTCGATCATCAATCTTAAAATCATTTCATAAATTATCATGTACTCATCTCATCTATTCTCACGAACCTAAACTTATTTTGTCTATTCCTTCTAAATCGTTGAAACATTGTGTTCGATTTCATACTCATCGTTTTCAATCACAATTATCAGTGGATGACGAAACATCGACGTTTGAGACAGTAGAAGAAGAAGATGTCACTGTCATTGATCCAACAAGTGATCTAGTACAAACTTCAACGACGAATGTTCTCGTTTCACCAAAACTAGATGTATTACAAGAAGAGAATGAAAATATTATTGATGATCCATTATTATCTTTGATTAATAAATGTTCATCCTTGCATTTCCTATTTCCATTAATCTCTATAAATATTCCTAATTTAAAACATCATCATATAGCTACCTGTATTTTACAATCTTGTGTGATTATACGTGCATTTACTCTATTCTATCCTGAACGTGAACATGAATATCAACAACAACTGTTAACACATCCAATCTTTCAATCATTATGCTTACTATGTGAAAATCATTTATATCAATTAAACTATACAGAAATGGTCAATATTTTGTTTGCTTTTACGCTTCTTGATATTCGTATGCAACAATCTGATTTTTTAAAACGTTTATTTACACAATGTTCGTTAAAATCAAATATAAAACAATTCGATTTAGAATTATTAAATCGTTTTACAATTTCTTTAATTAAAAAGTCGAATCGATCATTGGCTATTCCTCTATTCTCAACACTGTGTGAACGTCTATATGAACTATTAGATACAATTTCTGAACCGGATGGATTAAAACAAGCTCTTAGCACCGCAGCACTTCTGGGTGGTGGAATACCAACGAGTACGACACAGTAATGCATTGTTTCATTTTTTGTAGATAATATATGTGCGAAACGTCCAAAAACTTTGAGTTCTAAAAAAAAACATCTTTGCAAGAAATCTGTTTTCCTCGTTAATCTTTTTTTTCTCCTTTAAAACATTAGTCCTAATCGCTCAAGGTAGAGTGATTGTCACCGCGCAAACTTGAATTTTATACGTGTTATTTCAGATTCGGTGAATGACGATGAATCGGAACAATTTTCGGTGAGCGTTATTATTTTCTTACTCATTTCAGTAATGAGACAAATTCAAAATAACCTTAGCATTTTTTTTAGCTATTCTTCTTTTCTCTTTCTGTTTTAGTCTTCTCGAATTATTGAACGTTTAGCAGAAATAATTGATAAACATATTGAAGAATATTCATCTACATCTCAAACATTTTTACGTTTACCAAATATGGGCTTTTTTTTCCGTCATCATATTTCACGATGGTTACCATTACTATTAAATTCATGGAGTGAAAATATTAACGATTATAATTGGTTTGAAATTCATCAATTGTTAGGAAATATAAAACGGTCAGTGTTGTTAGTTATCTGTTGAAAATTTGCTAGCTAATACTCAGTTTTCTTTCATTTTAGGAATTTACATTTTATACCCAAATTGTTTGATTTAGCTGTTGCACGTAAGTTCTTTTTATTTATTTATTACATGATTTTTTTTTAACATCAAAAATAACTAATATGTTGCCACTATCATTTGCTTGTTCTATCAATCATATTAATAATAAAAACGATTGTTTTTGTATCTATTAGGTTGTGAATATGAATTGAATTATCACACAATGACAAGTCGTGATTTACTCTATATGTGTTATTCGTTATATAAGAGTGCACCGTACAAATTAAAGCAACAATTGGATAATGCATTACAAATACATTTGAATAAATATTCATCACATGAAATCTGTATTCTCTATTCACATGTTAATCCGGATACATGTAATCAACATGATATTTTAGTACAAATTCATCAAATATTAAAAATGTTTTCATTATCATATAATCAACAAGGTATGTTTGTTTGTGAGTTTATACTCGATCGTGAGAGTTATGATTTGTACCAATACTTCTTTTAATCGTTAATAGGCGACATTTGTTCTTTTTAGATGAAGATTTTTGGCATGTGTTAGGAACATTAACGAACGACATAAAATTAAATATACAATATTATAATACAAATGATCATGGAATTGATTTTATCCGTTATATTCGAACAGAAATTGATTATTTAAAAAAACGATCTGATCTATGTTTATTACGTAATCAATTTTTGACTCTCTTAGGATTCTATATGAAATATTCGATAAATAATAGCATAATACCTGATACAATCATGAAGCACGTTGAAACCATGATCTCACAATCAACATTAAAAGATACTGCTTCTCTGTTATCGGGTATGAGAGTTTTATAATCTTACAGTGATTTTGACCTGGGAGAGGAAGGGAGAAATCCCCCTCCTTGTTTGAAATGAATTAATTACTCACTTGAGAAAAACAATTACTTAGTTCATAAAAAGATTTGCACACTCAGCAAAGTTGAAGGCCTTTTTTTTTTTTGTTTAATTGTTTTGAGTAAAACGGATGAAAAATGAGAAAAAACGTACTCAAAAAATATTTTGGAGTTGCTCAATAAAACTTATCCTCCCCCTTTGCCAAAGTTATATCGAAAACGCTAAATCTGACAGTTATTCCTTGAAGGTATCTCAATATGATTAATTTGCTAAAATTTACGTAAATATTTGTTTTTTTTCAGCCCATCATCTCGTATCATCATCCAATGTAAACTCAAATCCATTATTTTATCGTCAGATTAATTTTATTCATAAAGCTATTATTCGTCATAAAGTTAATCAAGCGAATGAATCGTTATATTCACTTGGTCGATTATCATCATTTCTCAATCAAATAATTTATCGTAGTCGATATATTGATTCAAGTTTAGAACCGTTCTTTTTACGTTTACAAACATTTGAAATTATTCAATTGAAAGATATTCGTCAATTATGTCAGTTATTCATGTCATCAGTTCGTTTGTATCCAAATATTTTAGATAGAATATGTTCAACGTTAATTAATTCGACAAGTGAAATACCATTAAGTCTATTAGCCGTGTATTATAGAACATTAATGAAATTAAATTATATTCCAATTCAATGTGAACGATTATTTTCTTATTCAGTTGAATTATACATGGCATATCAGGATAGTCAATCAACGATGAGAACATCGTCATTCATTCGTCCATTTGATTCTCTTCATTTGGCCATAGCACAAGCGGGACTATTACATAAAATTGATCATAGACTCATCGAAGACGTATTTTCATTAGCATTTTTGGGAAATTTAGATCAAATATCAATCAATGGTAAATAGATTTGACAATTCTTTTAACAACGACAGGCAATCATTTATACAGCTTGTTCTTCTGCAAATTAATCTATCTTTAAACTATCATTTGTTTCTTCATTTACTCGATCTAGTCGCTAGTGAAGAAGTTTCACAGCGTATCTAAAACAAGAATTGAATGAGACAGTAAATGGCCGTCCAACGATCATGAATATTTCTTATAATTTTGTGTTCATTCAAATTTTAGAATCTGAAAATGATTTTAAACTTCGTCAACCATTATTTCGTTTAAATCAAATTTTGAGTATTGATCATCCAGCATTAGAAATTCCCTGGTTCAATGATCGCTTTGGACTTGATGTTATTGTACCAGGTGAATAAAAGACATCTGCAATTATGTTTTCGATTTTTTTACTTTTGTTTGTTCATTACAGAAGCTCGCCGACGAAATGTACGGTATCCAATGTACGAACAAGTCGAAGCAATTTTAACCACTATTCTTGGTAGTAAAGATCATTTTCTAACACGAAGTTTTTCACCATATTTTCATGAAATTGGTATTATTTTTTAACTGCTATGAGAACGAGTTCTCTATTTTACTTATTTATTGTAGATTTTGAATGTATGATGCGTACAAGTGATGGACAACCTGTTCCAATGGAACCTTTAGATGTCAGTTCTCTAACAGATAAAACATTGAAAACACCACCAGGTTTACAAAGGTATTTGCGTTAGATTTATAAGAAAAGTGTTTTGAGTATATTTTTGGGTTTTAGAATTGCAGTTCAATTAACAACTCCTGGAAATTATTGTATAAATACGCGACATTTATTAGGAACATCAACTGTCAATTTCAGACATTTGAGAACACTTGGATATAAGCTTGTTGTGGTATGTTAATGAAAAGGTCATTTCCAAGTCAAATAAAAAATTAATTATCGTCTATATGATTTAGATTCCATATTACCAATGGTATACAATGGATACTGTGACAGCAAAAGTTCAATATTTGAGAAACAAACTATTAGTAGGTGATGTGGATCCAAACGAAATGTAATTTATTTTTGTGTATTTTTCATACATCAATAGTAGCATAGAGATATTTGTTTTTCATTTATTTTATTTGATACGAGAGTTTTTATATGTTAGTAACATAAAAAATGACCGAGTGAATGAATATGAAATATCTTATTGATCGACACAAGCGGAGCTACAAATATCGCGTAAGTGTTTACAACCATCATGATTACAAAGTATTACTTTCTGATGTCTGTACTTTCTTATGGGTTTTATATTTCTATGTGGTCTGAACCACTGACAGCCACTAGCTAACTAGAAAGAAAAAATAACCTCGTGAGTTTCAAGAAAGCTCATGATTTCATGCTGAATAAAGTAATTTCATAATGGACACTATGTAGTAATCTTGCTGATTATAAATATCACATTTAAATTCCAAAAACCTTTTACAGATAGAACATTGCGCAGTTCAATATTACAACTACACCTTTGCACAAATAAAAAACAGAACGATTTGAATCCTTACGATGGTGGTGTTTCTAATCTCCAGACGTATTGGACAATAGCTTTACCATTCATGGATTTCACTTCAATAACATTAGTTACTGTTAGTGGTAACTGTTAACTAATTTACCAGCAACGCACAAAATGTCAAAAAGCCGGCATTTATACGCGTAAAATGTGACTTTTTGACGCGTATGAACGTCATTGTTTTTTTGCTTGGGTAACGGGCGTAAACGACGAAAGACGATGGCCGTTTATCATCTTTTATGGTAAAATTATGCCATTTTTAACTGTTTACTAAGACATATCCGACGTCCGCAATCACCGACATGGGTTATGTTGTTAGTACTGACATTTCCGGCAATGTAGAAATATTCGACCACACAAAGAGTTATTTCCTTCGGATGACAGTTCACTGATTTTTGTTTGTGTCTATTACCGAACGGAATGGTGAATGCGGGAACTTTGCCGATTAGGAGGAGCGGAGGCAAGGAAACAAATAAAAATTAATATACGAAAAATCAATTTTTTATCAAATTTTATTTCTGTGATAAAAGAACCTTTACGTAATGACAGATGCTCCCAGATGTTTTTCATTGTGTTGCGAAAAATGGGTATTGTTTACGTTAATAAAAAGGCACAGTTTTATAAAGAATTTCGTGGGGAATCTTTTTTAAACAAAATTAGCCTTCAGTCACTAACTGCAACCAAAATCAAGAGGTCTATCCGTTAGTTTTGAAACTGATCCCGGTCCTGCTGATGTCTCACCTCATCCCATACAAAAGCAAACGGTTTTTCAAAAAATAATGGGCTCTAATTCATGGTTTCCTTCAACATTTTCTGCGACCTAGACAAGAACAAAATTAATCCAGAAAGAAAGATAGGTTTTTTTATTGATCCTCTCTTAATCATTCTACGCATAATAATTGGTGACCTTCAGTTAAATTTATTTGCTTGATGTCTGTAAAACACAATTTTACATTGTTCAATCTCCCGTGTCTTTAATAAAGACAGTAAATAAAATTGAAATTTGACTAGTTAATGAAATATAAAAAAGTTTCTAAATTGATAGATAAAAACAAAAATACATAACGAAGTTTCTATTCAATAACTGCTTGTGGTATTTTGCGTCTCACCAGACCGATGATTAATCCTGCAAGACCAGCAACGCATGCAACCAATGATAAACTAGCCAATGTTTTTAAAGTAAAAAAATCATCTAGACTGTTCAATTGTGAAAGAAATGAACCGGTTTGAATTGAAATAAAATTAAGTGGCATTAAACCTAAATAATAAATAATTAAATCAATAATTTTCAGCAATAACAAGAATGATGATGACTCTAACATAACCTACCGAATAGTAAGGAAAAGAAAAATGTCTTTTTTGGTACATTAACTATTGGAGATGCGATGTTTATGAGCCAATTAGGTGACATTGGTACCATACGCATAAATAAAAGCATGAAAAATAAATTATGACGAGCAGCTTCAACCTAAAACATAGTGAGGATGTTGTATGATTTATTAAAACAAATGTTTTTTTTGTATACTTTTGTTTGAAATAAAATAATTTTTTTATGGCAGCATCGCATCATAAAATCACGTGCAAAAAAATAGATCAATGAATAACATATACTACCACCAATTACTGTTAAGAGACAACATAACGGAAAACCCAATGCAACGCCGAAGAGTGCACCACCAAGTAGATTCTATCTTGAGAAGAAGAAAAAATGCGAATATTCAATATTTATATCAACGGTCATTTCTCACCATTAAAACATTTCCTGGAAGAGCAAACGTTTGTTTGTAAATATAAGCGGAACAAAATAATAATAAAACATATCCAAAATTAATATCACGATAACGTTGAAGTACAACGGATAATACTTTGAGATCATCAAAAGTTCGAGGAAAACGAATGACGACTCTAAGTGAAACAAAAGTTAGATTTTAAACACTCAAGCGTATTTTTGAAAAAAAATTCAATAATAACCATTGGATAAAAATTGATATGTTCTTAAGTTATCTTACTGATCTTTCTAACAAGAAAAAAATCGAATAAAATTATACTGATCATTTTCAATGAAGTCAGTGAACAAGGTTTTTCACAAGAACACTTTAATACGACTTAGCCTGTTTGCTAACTCAATAATTTAATATTTATAGATATAATTCTTACTTTTCTTCTTCACTGGTGTTTAAAGCTGGTCCATTGACAGATAAAACATACAGATAAATCGTAAAACAGACAAATATACATGGGATGATAATAGCACTCATGCTTGAATGACCTGGAAGAAAGAGGAATATTACTGGAGGAAAGAGGAATATCGCTTAGTTACTGAAATTTGAATAAGAATACAAACTATTATGAGAGTAATAACATGCTTAGTTAGCATGAAACGATAACATTCATCTTTTTCGATAACTCTTTAATCGACCTTGCTGAATTGTCTGTTTAAAGAAAGAGTAGATCCGATCGTTTGAATAGCTTTTGATAGAAAGTAGCTAGAGAGTTGCATCTTTCGTCATACGCTAGAGGATACTTTGGAGCATCTTTTCATAAACGAAGTCAATTGGAAAATATTAATAATATAATAGTATTAATATATAAAACTGATGGAACATTATTTATCAACTACTCTGAAATTCGTAGTAATTCTTGGTTTCAGAAAAGAGTTCAAAATTAAATTAAGTCAAATAAATCATTTTTCATTACACTGCAGATATGAGTTTATCAAGAATTAGAGAAGAGCTGTCCGAAAATTTTAGAAAATCCATGGCTAAGCAGTGAAAAATCAAAAGCTCGCTTAGATCTCATTTTAAAGAGGATACTTTGGACTATCTATCTGTATAGAAAATCTAATGTATTCGTACTTCAAAATTGTTTCGCGCTATGGTCCAACTTTCCAAACATCTGCTTGAGAAGAACCTATGTGTGAAAAATATTTTCCAATTGACTATGTTTGTGAAAAGATGCTTCAAAGTATCCTCTAGTGTTTGGCGAAAACTGCAGCTCTCTTCACTGCGAAAAGAAGTGCCCTTTGGTGAGATTTAGGGCGCATGAAAGTGCCCTGTTTGTTGTTTTCACGGTGACTGTGGCGCACTTAGGGCACTTTCATGTGCCCTAAACCTCACCAAAGGGTAGTTTTTTTCCCAGCGTAGCTGCTATCTGATTTAAGATCTCCCGTTGTCAGAAATCTATCTCCGAAAGTATAAGTCTGATCTTAACAACAATTTCAGAGAATGTTGGACATGCCAAAGTATGATAAGGAATTTTTTTGACTCTGCTTGTCATCGTTCGTGAGATGGCGCTACAACAATGGCCAACATGAGACGGTTCCTAGCTGCAAGTTTTCTCGGTAACAAAACGTCTGAAGCGCAGGTGATGAGCTTAAAATGACCTATATAAAACAGACTATAGGTTAAGAAAGACGGACTTTTAACATTTTACTTTTCCACATAATGGTAAGCGTCAAAAGTCAAAAATTCGAAAAAGTCTCATTAATTTGCAAAAAGACGCTTCTCTAGCCACAAATCCAGAGCGAATATCGAAAAGTAGGCTCTATTAGCGTCTAGCCGAAGCTGTTAACTTCAATTTAAGAACAGCCCGAGCTCTCCACGACATTTCGTTATCGAAAAATCTTGCAGCTACGAAATGTGAACAAGAAGAAATATCGTTTCGAGAAAAACGCAAAATACTTTTTCCGTTCGAAAAATGTCGGATTTTTCGTAATATTCCAATGAACAAAGTTTCTAATGGTTTGTGCTATTTATGGGTACGAAACGTTGACAAATAAACATCAAAATGTTAAACAAACAAAAATTTAAAGCTGTTATCTCAGCTAAATTTCTAAACAAAGTTCCTTTATATATTCCGGCGAGCATATGCGTATCCACTCGGCATGGTTGAAAACCTACTGCGATGTGAAATCTATAAAAAAAACACAAAGATTGTTCTCTTCTACAATGGGGTGTTCAGAAACCTTCTTGAAAAATCTCAAAAAAGTCCAGGGCATAGAACTTACGAGGGAACTTTTCGAGGTGATTGAACGCTTTTTGCTCGGAATCTAGTGGGTTATAGGTTATCGACCATTTTTATTACGAATATGACCATGGAGGTTGCCCTTTGCCCTTCGAAGATCTGGTTTTCTAGAAAACTAGTTTTTCAGAAACTCTGAAATATAACCCGAACCTTTCTTAATGAGGCATGATTGTAGCCCGCACATTTCTGATTGAAATGAGACATCTGCCAGCTTTATACGACCTTTCTTTGCAAAGTTATAGAATTTACAACAAAAGCCCTAAATTAATTGCTTATTTCTGTAACTTTGAGCTGACAATGAACATTTAGGGCCTTTCTTGTAAATTCTATAACTTTGCAAAGAAAGGTCGTATAAAGCTGGCAGATGTCTCATTTCAATCAGAAATGTGCGGGCTACAATCATGTTTCATTAAGAAAGGTTCGGGTTATATTTCAGAGTTTCTGAAAAACTGGTTTTCTAGAAAACCAGATCTTCGAAGGGCAAAGGGCAACCTCCATGGTCATATTCGTAATAAAAATGGTCGATAACCTATAACCCACTAGATTCCGAGCAAAAAGCGTTTAATCACCTCGAAAGGTTCCCGCATTAGTTCATTCGAAAGATAACGCTTCGGGCTATTAAACCATGTACTTATTTAAAGAATGCTATTTTCAACGAAAATTAACATTTCTGACGGGGGGAGGCACAGTGTGCATCCGGGTAAACATAAGGTGAAAAAACGAAAGTCAACTTTTTATCAACTCAAATGGTGGTAAATATACTTCAAGACATGCTCTATCTGATGGCATAAAATGTTTTGTTATGAATCCCAAGTAGAGTGGAAAGCCCGCCAATCAAAAATTACCGTGAAAATACACCTATCGTTAAAAAAATTAGTTTGTTGCTTAAGACTTAGCCGATGAGTAGGCAAAAACAACGCATATTCGGAGCTGTCTCAGTGTCCTCTATCGATTCGTAAAAAGAATTTTAAATTTCAGCTCATAAATGTTAAGAAAATAAAGGAAAACTTTTCTGTATTGATTTTCCGAATGGCTAAGTATAGCGCTGTGCGCACGCTAGCCTTAGCCATGCTCCAAATTCGTTCAAACTTTGTCAAAACATGGTTTTCCAGGTATTTTCCATGTTTCTCAGCTCAGGAGCACTTTTATTTAAAAATAAGATCACATCTGAAATTAGCACACTAAACTGTATCGAATGGTGTATAAAATGTCTAGTTTTCAAGGAAAAATCTTTTCGACGAAATTTTTGGGCAAAGTCTGACGATCGCATATTTACGCAAAAATGTCATTAAAAACCGCTACGAGGAAAAAGCACATCACGTTTTATTTTGCAGTTCTTTAGAAGGTAAGTTTTGGCTGTATACGTGTTTTTCTCTTTCTGTTTTTCCTTTTTTCAGATAATAGTGTTCGAATAGCAAGCTCTTTTTACTTCTTCACTAGTTTTTCCAGCCCTGTTTTTATCAAGAAAGTTGCTTTAAATTGAACAAAAAAGACATCTTTTTATACCTGTTCGTAATAAATATTTTGAATTTGATTCTAATGTATCACTATTTTGAAATGAATCAAGTTCAGTTGTTGTATAAGATGATGGCAATGCTGAGTGTATATGATCTGTTTTAATTTTTCCATCTTCTTTTGCCATTTCATTCGTAAAACCATTTCTAGTTTCAGATTGTTTCTGTTGAATGTCTACATCACCATTAGTAGCTCGAATTATATGTAAAGACGCCACTATTTCTCTCTTGAAATGATACAGAAAGTTGCATTTGTTGAAAAATCAGTCGACGTTTTTTTTTATAAATATAATAATTATACGACGTTACGTGTATGAAAATGTATTGAAGGTAAAGAAAAAAAAGAATTAATGATGACAGAACAGCTATGCAAAAAAAGGGTTTAAATGTTTGATGACTAATGCGTTTAACTGTCTAAAACACATAGGCAATCTCATTTTTTTCTCTGTCATACTTGAAATAAATAATAAGCACAATAAACTAGAAAAGAAAAGTATCGAGAAATAAATAAATAATTAGAATTTATCATCGTTAAATCGGACTGTAATACGACCATAGAAATAACAACTGCTCAACGCTGCCTCAAGTAGCTTTTGGTTTATTCCTAAACTCCGCACACTTTCACCCATGCACTCATGCCTTTGAAGATTCTTTGATCTCAATTTGAAATTAATTAAAAGTGTGCCGAGTTCGGGAAGTAACGTAGATTTTTCCACTTTTCACGTTTGCCGCATTTTATAAATGTTGAAAATCGATTACGTTTTTCTTCACAAAATTGCTTTCTTAACATGATTTTTAACACATCATCAGAAGAGTGACCACAAAAAATGTAGAAACATTTTTCCTTTTATAACTTTTACTACAAGAAAAACGTGTATAGACTAAAAGTAAGGCCCTCCTCATCAAGTTGATTTTAGAATAAGAGCTAAACGTTTTCGGAATGGAGAGTGAAGACGCAAATTTCTCATCGAACTACTTTTCTTGTATGCCACATTTCACTCCGTAGTTATTGGATTTCTTACTGGTTACTATCATTATCTATGCGTCACACTCTTCTTCTATTGTTATGTCGTTTAGGTGCGATATATTTCTGCTGAACGGTCAGATTTTCTCCTTGTTTTTGTTGACACAAACATGTGGTAAATCTTTGAACAATATTTTATTTGTATTTGATTCAACAAGAAAAATAAGATTGCTTCGTTCAATGAAATAGACACATTATTTTTCTAACCTATGGCACCAGCTGTGAAATATATTGCACGCGACAAAAAGTCAAAAAGAAAATTCCCAATTATAATATATTGCGCACAAAAAGATAAACAAAATATGCACAAATGATAAACTGTTCGATAATAAAAAAAATATATTGAGATTAAAGGTACATGCTCAGAACGTACATAAAATAAAAAATATCTGAACATGTTTAGAAAAAAACGAAGAGTATGATATTTGCTCGCCTTTAGCAAAACCTGAGCAGTTTGAAAATATTCTCATTCTGGTTTGAAAGTAAAGAGAAGCAACAAAAATATGTTCGAAAAAAACTAAAATCTTGTTCACAAATATCTGTTCTATCTGACGTACAGAAGAAAAGGTAGAGACGCAAAATAATAACAACAAAAGAAAAAGTTACACTGTAGGACAAGGCTGATACGCTTGGGTGGTGTGGGTAGATGTCGAAGACGGCGACACTTGCTGTCGCATAGGCATTTCGGTGATATTGTAATAAGACATTTGTGGTGCATAACTTGAATATAGTGGTGGTAATCTAACATTTTGCTGGTGTTGTTGTTGATAAAATGTGTTTGAGTTCACATATGAAGTTGATGCAAATGAATGTGACGAACGATATTGTGGTATATACGGATTTGTGTTTGATTGCATTGTTCCATCGATAGTCATATGTACGTGTTTTTTACTATACGAAAGAGGTTGTGGTGGGTGTTTAAAAATTGTAGCTTGTCGCAACTGAGAATTACATGTGCTCTAAATATATCAAGCATAAAAATAGTGTTAACGTAACTAGAGCAGTACAATCTCACACAAGTATCAATAAGATTATATAGCAAGTCTAAAAAGAAGAGGTAACTTACTGAGTTAAAAGCGTTATCATCTGTTGCTATGCACCGTTGCTGTGGCTGATACGTTTCTCGTTGAGTCGGGTGATAATACTGTGAATGAACTCCAGGATGGAGCCGTTGCTGATGTTGTATGGCCATTTCTTTAAGTGTGTTCGCTGCCGGTCCAGAAAGTGACGATTGAGCTAAGTGAGGACGATTTGTTCTAGAGTCATTGCATGATGATGAAGAAGATGAATATATATGGCACATATTTTGAGGTAGATAATGTATTGTAGCATTTTGCTGTTGCATTGTTGTTGTTAAACTTCGTCTTCTATCTGACAAATTATCATGCGTATAACGAACACCATCGCACGATGATAGATGATGACGACTAGATGAATCGTTTGATGTTTGATTATTGTTAGTGGAGTTATTTTCAACTAACTGAAATAAATCTTCCTCATCTGACTTTTTTGATGAGTATACTGTGGGTGTCGCTGTACTACCCACAATCAAAAATTCATCAAATAAATTTCTATCAGCTGGTGTTATATCTTTAAGAACTCTGTCAAAATCAGCTTCACTCAGTAAATCGTTGGCTGTTATTGTGGATTCTTGTGGTTGTTTTGTTATTTTTTCATTCGAATAAGATTTAATATTGATTGTTGAACTAACCGTAATATCACTACTGTTTATTTGTTGTATATTAAATTCTTGAACAATTTTTGTTTCAAAATGGGATGGAGACGCAATTTCTAATAGTGATGACGGTAGTAATTCATGTTCTTGTTCAGAAGTAATATTTGATTCAACTGGTTTCGGTTGTTGTTGGTGGTGTCGCGTAGAAAGTGAAGATTGAGATGATAAACGACGATATTTTGAAAACGGTATTTGATCATGAACTATGTCAAATGTACGAAAATGATCCTTTTCAGTTTCGTTTAATTGTTGTTGATATTCATCAAGTTTTCGTTTCGTTTTACTTGGACTCTAAATAGAACATATATCTTGTTAATCACAACAGGTTCAAAACAAAAGAAGATTACGTAAAATTAGCACGATTCGAAAAAACTCAAGTGTATGTGTACTATGCCTTCCAGTTAAGCTACAATTTATTCGCCACTACATATGCAATAACATACTCAATAGATTTCTGTTTCATTTATTCCAGATACAAATTTTTACAAGATTTATATTTTCAGAAATGTTCACTTGTTGAGCTAACAATTAATAAATAGTGTAATATTTTGTAATTGTTTTTATTGCATATTTATTTATGCCAAAAATCAATCTATTTTTATTCTCCTACGTTCCTGTCTATGTATGAATATAAAAAGACTGTTATTCTATCATTCATCTCAGGGTCCGTTGGGGTGAACGTCAAAAAAAAAATGTTTCTTCATCAGTGTACAGCATTTATCAGTTATTAGTCTAAAAGAAAATGTCAGAAATGTGCTTCGAGTTTCAAATGATAAAGAGTAATGGATATAGTAAATCTTTATGATAAGACAATGTAACTGAAAAAACTTTTTCGATTAGTAAATCAATATTGAATATGCTTTAAATCTAATCCAAATACTTGCTAAAAAACGCTCAATATTTTAATCTCTTTTTGTTGCAGTCTAACAAAATACAGAAAAAAATGCTACACACCGTCGTATTGTACATGAATCAAGTTTGATAACACGATTTTTATGTTATAAAATTCTTTTGTTTGATTGAAACCAACTCAATGAAGAGAAAAAGTGAATTATTATTTTATATTATTTTTTTTCCCTTTTATTCTTCTTCCGAATAATAAATGTTACAACAACAACAACGATATGACTGCCTGCGTACTAATCTTTTTCTTTTTTTTCTTTTCAAACGAAAAACAACTAAAATTTCGATGTAATAAAGACAGAACATGTTCATCAAATAAAAAATTTGTTTTTCTCTCTCATTCTTTACTTGAATTTACTACTAGATTTGTTGTGTTCGAGATTTTTTCCACTAAAACAATTTAATACATGTAGCTCATTTATAATAATGACATGATGAATAATATATATATATATATGAGTGTGTATGTGTTTTTGAACATTTGAGCTCTTTCGTTTTTTGAAGAAAAAGGAGATATAGGAGTCAAAATGAACATTCTATTCATAACAAAAGAGAGAGAGAGATGATAAATCCATGCTGTTGAATGAACAACGATATAATTATATCTTCAATGGAATGGAACTAGGCTCAACTAGCGAACATACACTCATATCATCTTACTAGAAAATGTACAATATGAAGAATTTTAACTTTTAAAACAGTGAAACTGAACATCAGCAACAATCAAATTTTTATGACTTTGGAATTTAATGATTTCACACGTTTCCTGCAGCTTACTAATATATTATTTTCTGTTGATTTCTTTATCTTCATCCATTTATGCCAAATTTTTTTTGAAAAAAAATACAACATTAAACTGACAAAATAACCAAAAACTACATCGTTTTTCTTTTAATTAAAAGAAGTTAAAGAAGAAATGATCATCGTCATTCCCTTTTGTCCCTGTGTATGCGTGCGCATTTCAAATAAATTTATATCATACAACAGATGTTTTAGATTAATAGAAGGAGACAATTTTCATTATACAATACGGCGTTATGTGTAGGCATATTGTTCTGTATTATAATGAATGACAAACAAGATGACTAACAACTTATCGGCACAACAACATAAGAAAAAAAAGGGAATCTCTCATTACTTGGATTACTTCATTTTCTCTTTTCATTCTTCGTTGAAAAATAATTTGTCGTTCATTTCTATATTATCTTAAATAGGTGTGTTGCATGAGACAGCTGATCTTGAGAGTAAAACGAAGACGACTAGACCAGTTAAGTTGCTATTTGGTTTACAAGGATTTCAAAACAGACTCTTTCTACGGAGCATATCAAAAAAATTATATCTTTAGTGCAAATGAGATTTCTGGAAAACTGAAAAATTTTCACTACCTAATGACAAATAAATTTTAGTTTAGAGAAATCTTGCATGGATGTAGTCTTTTCAATAAAATAAGCGTATCTAAAATACTTCAAGGATCATTTTTTTGAAAAAGAAATTTTGAAATAGCACCTTTCTTTGGTTTTTAAATTAAAATTTGAAATTTGAAAAATTCGAGTATGTCAAAAATAGAGGTACACACTTTCATAATTATCACATATTCAGTTATTCAGTTGTTTTCAAACACAAGTATATCCTCTTTTTAGCTCGATTGAAATTATGCCAAAAGTCTCTCTGTTATATGCATTCAACACAAACAGAACAACATACAAGCCATTAGACAAGTTTTTTTTTCTTCTAATTCCTTGAAGGAGACTGCTACATCGTTGTTCCACTTTTTTATACCCTCAAGCAGTTCAGAGCAAAAAAATCAGTTTTTTTTATAGTTATCAAGGGAAAAAAGAAAGACATCTAGATCGATGTAGTGTACACCTCAAAACTATTGTTTATTCTACACTTCGTAGAGCACTTTGGGGTAATTAGAGACACTCTTTGAAATTTTCATCCTTTCTCTGCTATTTCTTGGCCGTTTTCGGTCGGAAAAAGTTGCTATTGAACACGGTGGTTGACCGAACATTTTTCTACACACTCGTGTAAAAATCTTTTGAAAATCTGCGGCTAATTTTGAGCCAGATCTAAAATGCAAAGAGCTCTATCAGAGTGTCTCTAATTAGCATATAATCAGCAGCACTAGAAATTCTCTTTTTTCCTTTTTTATGCTTTGCGGTAAATAGAGACACTCGCGTAATCTCTTCGGGGTAAATAGAGACACTCCACTGACTTACACGGGCTTCTCAGAGACAAACCTCTACCGTCTCTCAGGAGTCGATTTTGGTATTATACTAAATGACAAAGCTTTTCTCCAAATTTTTTTCTCTAAACTAGAACCGGTTACAACCGACTGGTTAATAGAGGGTCTGTCTTTTGGATAAAAAATTCATATCTCATCAACAAACCATCGTAAGAAAGTCTGAAACATCTGATTTTGTAGAGCAAACATTTGTGCACAAAACTATCGATTCGAAAAAATTTTAAAAAATTTCTTCGATTTTTAAAACCGCTGGCCTCGAAGAGCCCCCATAAAATAACCGATATATGCCTAATGCAAAATGGGAAATGTGGGCCCTAAACCATATGTTCTATAAAAAAATTTTGGTGTAATATGAAGAGCATTGTATAAGGTATATGAAATGTTCAACGTGATTGGAATTTGACTGTTAATAATGTTCATTGTGTGCACAGAAACCGCTGAAAATATTTTATTTTCTTCCGGTTTTCACATATGTGATAGAGGTCAGCATTATGAAGAACTTTGTCATTTGGTATAATACCAAAATCGACTTCTGAGAGACGGTAGAGGTTTGTCTCTGAGAAGCCCGTGTAAGTCAGTGGAGTGTCTCTATTTACCCCGAAGAAATTACATGAGTGTCTCTATTTACCGCAAAGCATAAAAAAGGAAAAAAGAGAATTTCTAGTGCTGTTGATTATATGCTAATTAGCTTAATGAGTTTAAATGATATTGAGCTCAAAACTATGTGGTAGAGAGAGGAAGATCCGGGCTATAAAATGAGGTATTTTTGAACTAATTATCTCATAAACTTAATTCCCCAGCAATTGTACATTAAAACTCCATATATTTGAATGGAGTGTCTCTGTTTACCCCAAGCGCACAAATGAAGTGTCCCCAAAGTACTCTATGTAGAACTCCGCGTCAGGTTAGCCTTCTGTTCAGAGCTGTGGTCGATCAGTGGTAACGAAATGGGTGGCCATATCAGAAACTTGTCAACTGCAGAGACGATATCGGACTATCGAAAATGCCATTCAGCAGCTCTCTATACCGGAAACCAGAGATGGGCAAGTCCGGTACTTTTCCAGTCCCAGTCCATGACCAAATTTGAGTTAAAATTTTCCAGTCTCAGTCTACTATGCAGTTAAAATGTTTCAGTCCCAGTCCAGTCCCAGTCCAGTCCCAGTCCGTGACGAGTTAAAATTTTCCAGTCCCGGTCCAGTCCTAGTCCGCTAAGCTATAAGTCCGATGTCGGCCACAGCATACATTGTTTTCCACTTCCATTTTTTTTTATCAGAGAGTAACTGTTTCTTTAACTGCCGCCTTTTGATTATAAGTAACTCTGATCAAAAGTTTTGAATCAAAGGTTCTGATCAGAGCTAATGTTAACCGACTACGCGGTAACACGAAAAAGATAAAAGAGTGAATTCGATTTCTTTATTATTTTCATCTTTTGTCAAATTTAAACTCAAAGGTCCAGTCACAAATGTGAAAAAAATCTAGCAGAAAAACATCCACGTCTCTTATGTCTCCAGTCCCAGTCCAATCCAAGTCTCTTACGCCTTCAGTCCCAGTCCAGTCCCAGTTCAGATGAAAAAGTCTCCCAGTCCGGACTCGGACTTGCCCATCTCTGCCGGAAACGGTAGCCGCAAGGTGAGCTATTCCTTCCTTCTTTCTTCGTATATAGAAACAAAATCTGAATCTTGGAATAATTATTTTGTACTAAAGTATGGAACGGTATTTTAACAAATTAGTAATTCGAACAACAATTACTAGATTTTTAAAAATAGACTTTTCTCATTCATGCTATGTTTTACCGTTTCTGTTGCTAATGGCTCTACTGCTCTCTAAATCACGTTAAAATAAAGTTCCATTGAGGTAGAAAATAAAAAGCAGATTTATGGACTGGTGGAATCTGCCTAAGATAAGGTAAAAGCCATATTAAATGACATAAGAAAGCCACTATCAAATTTACATGGGTAAAATATGTTAATTAGTACAACTAAACTGGAATTTGTTTCAGAAATATATTTTATCATTAACTTGAAGAAAAATGATGCAGAAAGTGGTACCAAATTTGAGCTTCTCTGAAGGTTAACTAGCAGTACTGTTAATAATTACAGTGAGAAACAACTACTTTTCGTATTTTTTTCAATGATATTTTGTCAAAAACTGTGTAGCATACCGCTGATAAATATTTTCTTCGATCGTAATGGTTTTTTAACTTTCTTTTATTCACTATTGCCTTCAGATTTTTCGTTATTTTTTTCCTATATATTTTCGCCAACCATCTTTGTAATAATATTTGAGTCTCATTCTTTGATTGATGATTTCCTGTTCAAAATACATTCTTAAATTGTACTACTTTTATTTCATGGTGATTTTTATAGACGTTCAAACGCTCTGCTATGGATTAGATTCTTTGGTTATAAGGTATTGTTGCTTATTCAGAATAATCCATACTTGCCATAACCCATCTACAAAAAAACTTTTGAAAAAGTTAACCGGGAACAATATAAAGAGCAAAAAAAACA